TTGAGATCCGCTGGAGGGAAGCCCGAGTGCTCGCTCGAAGTCGATGGTCACAGGCGCTCAGGTGGCCCCGAGAAGGCCGCGGACCTGGGTGGGCCCCGAGAAGGCCGAGACTGCCCTGCGGGCGAAGTCCATGGCGGGCGCAGCCTGCCGCGCTGGACCATGCAGGGCGGGATCGACGGAGGGGGGCCCGAGCTTGCGTTCGGCGGCCGCTGGCGGGGCGGGCATTTCCAGACGGGCTGCCGCGCTGCTCTGCGGGGTGTGTATTTCCAGCGGCTCGCGCGGGATGGTCGCGCGCAGCGGCTGCGTCGCGGGCCCCGTGGGCCATTAATCTGGCTCGTCAGCCTAGACGGGCTTGGCAGATACAAGCGCGAGGACGCAGCGAGGCCTCGGAAAGAAGCGCGCGTCGGCAGGGCCCCCATGTCTTCCACCCCGTGGCCGACCCGACGGGCCAAGTCGAGTCCGCCGAAGGGTCGCCAGATCATTCGCGACGCAGACCATGAACTGGCTCGTAGAGCTGGCTCTCGAAACCCGGAATCCTCGCGCCCAGCCGAGTGGGCTGGGGCGGCGCCGACTGGGGAGTAGCGCGTTTCGCGCGCGCTCGGCGACGTCGTTCGCGCGGGGGCATTCGACGCCGCGCTGCTGACCTGTACTTCAGCTGGCCCAGGGCAGATGCGAGCCGGCGTGGCTGGCCGGCGCAAGCGCCCGCACGCGCGGTAGCATGGCCTTCCAGGAGTTCGCTGGGACAGACTCGGAAGGGTCCGAAGCCGAATTGCGCGACCGCGGCGCGCGCCGAACTTCCGAACTATTCGAAGCCGAATTGCTTCCCCTTCTCTTCCTCTTCCCTGCCTCCCTCCATTTCCTTATATCCTGCTCCGTGCCTGCTGTCTCCGCCCGGCCCCTCTTCCGCCTGCCCGCCCGCCCGTGCCCCCCGCCCGCGTTTTCGTCGTCGTCAGCTTGCCTTTCCGACCCTCGCGCCCTTCCGCCGGGCAGCGCAGCCTGCCCGGAACCGGCGCGGCGGCGCTCGGGGCCCCATGCGCGCGGGGGCGCGCCCGAGGGAGACCGCGATCTTAGCGTTCCAATTGCGGTAGCGCGACGGGGGTCGACGCCCCCCCACCACGCGCATCAAATCTACTCTGGAGAGGGGGCGGCGGGTCGACGAGAGGCCGCCGCGGCCAGAACGAAACGTGCGCGACGATCGAGGCGCCGCCCCGCGAGCGCACGGCACCCGACAGGAGCCCAGCCAGCCGCGGCGATCGAGACGCAAGCATCAAGGCGGGCCAGGAGGCGGACCCAGGACATCGGGTTAGGCGAGGAGTTCGATTCAGAGGACGAGCGGAGCGACTGGTCGAGCCCTGCGCCACCAAGATGCCGCGGGGCTCGAAGTTCGACCGCCTTCGGGCAACCACGCGACAGGCGACGGAGCAGCTGGCGGCGGAGATGCGCGCCCGAGCGCGGAGACGAGGCATGCCTTCCCTTTCTGCGCCCCCCGATGGATATGGTCGTTCAGCAGCCAGCAGCGGCGAGCGGCTGCCGTGATTCGCAGCGGCGAGCACAGAGCGCTGATGAGGTGGATCAATGGTCCTCAGCGCCAAGACCCCCCGCCGCCCGCGTGGCTTCCGCGCCGGGGGGCGCGCGCGGCCCCAGTCGCGGGCGCGACTCAAGCGCGCGTCCTGCCCGGCGGCGCCGGCGGCGCGTCCGCGCTGATGCCGCGGGCCGCCTGCCCCGCGCTGGCGCAGAGGCGTCGAGCCTTGGCGCGGATCTTCGCGGCCCAGCACCTTCTTCGGAGTGGTGGTGGCGGGGGGCCCTCGGTCGATATCTCGCAGCGGGGGACGACCCGCCGCGCTCGTCTGCGGGGCCTCGCGACGGTCTGATACAGCTTCCGGCGCCGAGGGCGATCGGCGACAGGGCGGGGGGGGGCGCGGAGCCAGCCCTGCGCGACTGGAAGAAAACCAAATGAACATCGAGCAGTGGTCGCCCCTTCAGCACGCGTTGCGCACGTCAGCCGCGGCGACGGCGCGGCAGAGGGCGCCGGCCGCGGTGCGCGCCAGTCGCCGATGGGGGCGCAGGTCGGGGACCGCGGCACGCACCGCGCGCCGCTCACCGCTGCCCATTGACCACGGCGGCAGCGGGTGCCGACAGCAGGGGCAGCCCGTTACTTGCAGCGCATGTGACCCCCCCAAGCGACCAGCCAACCAGCGCTGCACAGGACGGAAGACCCGCGCCATGTCGGTGAACATCACGAGCTGGGGCAAGACGATGACCCAGATGGAGGACAACCGCATTCCCGAGGACATCGTCGCGACCTGAGTCCAGGAGTGCCACCTGGACGAGTGTAAGACCAACGGCGCCATGGAAGCAGCCAGACGATAGGGTTGGATGGCCGACTTCTTCTGCGCGCGCCGCACTGGGCAGGGCGATGGATGCGCAGGAGGCGTCGGCGCCCTCCCTGGCCAGGCCACGGGTCGCAGACAGGAGCACGCTCAGAATCGTATCGGTTGAGGGGTTGCGCTGACCAAGTGCGCCCCGCTGAACGGAGTGGCGGCCAGCTGCTCGATTCCAGACCTGATGGCGCGTGTTTCCGCCATCCCTTCTTCGACCATGCGGCCAACTTGCGGCTCAAATCCTTGGGAGGCATAGCGGGCGAAACCTAGCTGCAGGCCGCGGGCGGCACAGGCACCGGCGGCTGCGTGCCGCATCGCGAGGAGCAGCCTGCTGCAGGACCACCCCGTTCGCCAAAACATCAAGTTGAACGCAGTGACAAAGTGCCGCAGCGCGGATGCGGCCTTCGGTCGTGTGCGCCCGTCTGTTGCAGGCAAGGAACCTCGTTCGACGCGGCACATTGGTTGCGATGTGGCATGCGTAAGCGAGCTGGTTCAGCAGCTCGCAGGAAGCGCCTGGTCCGAGTCAGTCAGCGCGGCGCGACAGTCGGTCTGCTGTGCAGAGCGCGCGGCACTTGCAAGCTGCTAGTCACTTGTCTTGTGCGTTGCCGTGCCGGCCGGCGCGGGCCCTCGCCCCCCCCCCCCCCTGGAGTCCATGGTGTCGGTATTTGTTGTTTCAGGTGGAGCCTGTTTCAAGCGGGCGGAGCAGGCGCGGGGGCCCCGCCCCCCCCCTCCGCTAGCCAGTCCTTCCAAGTCTCTACCAGCTGGGAAATGTGCCGGCGGGTATTTGAGGGGGCTCGGCGACGAAGGGCCGCGGGGGAACATGATTAGCCTTCGGCGCGCGTTGCGGTCAGCCCTGTTCGTTCACGCTGGCCTCCGATTTTTCATTTTGAATCTGGTTCTGGGTCCAGGCGCCACTGCCATTGCAGACCCTGCCTGCAAGTGCACCGTTGGCCCGAAGCCCATGCTTTCCCAGGCCGTCTGGAACCTTTGGTTTCCTTGGGACTGGATCGTCGCCCTTCATTCGGCCGCCGAGAGGCGCCTCTCGCGATGCAAACCTGGCCTTGAGTAGGCCACTGTCCAGGGTCCTGTCTCGGCAGCCCTCGCATCGCGCCGCGGGATCGGTTGACGCGCCGGGTCTGGACTAGCCCGGCCCCGCCCCGCCCAGGACATCTTCTTGGACTCGAGCGTTGCGCGCCCGCGGACGATCCAGAATATCGCCAACCAGGGCCATCGCGTCAAGCCCGCTCCGATAGCCCACTGTCTCGCCCACCGTTCAATGCTCGGCCGCTGTCAGATGCGTAGATGCCACCGTCTCTTGAAGCCACGAGCGTAAGTTAAAGGCCCGGCATTGCTGATGGCTCCACGCGCGAGCTGCGCGGCCTTGAGGCGGGGGCGGTGGGTCTTTTGCGTTGGGGGTGGGTGTTCTTGCGCATGGGGTTTCAGGCGCGATCGCCGCCTGCCCCGTTCCCTGCGCGAGGGAGCTCGTTCCAACGGCGACTGCGTTTCGAGGCGGCTCCTGCGCATCCGTTCTCGCGTGCGAACTTCGCATCATGAGGGCTGGGCGGCCCGTCATTCAGGCCAGCGGGGGGCGGCCTCGATCACGCGGCCGCCTTTTGCGGCCCTCCTGCCAGGCCCCCCATCAAGACTCCGAAGTGGCCGAGCTTTTCGGCCGACTGGCGCACCCGTCGCACGTCTCTCTTGGCCCGTTTCTGCATAGGTCAGGCCGTGACTGGGTGGTCTCCGTCTTCGGCAAGGAGGGGGGGCACTGCTGGCAGCGTGCGCTCCCGCGCGGATCTGCGGCCCAGAGCACGGGCGCGATTAGACGACGTCAGGCCCCTACGCCTGGGAAACAAACTTGCCGACCAAGCTGCGCGCGAGGGCGCAGCTCTGCACCCCCAGTCACGGTTGCGGATTCTCGCGCCGAGCAGTCTGTCAGCCTCGCCCAGCACATCTGAGTACCTCGCGCGCACCTTCAGGGATGTGGGCCCACCGCACCTCCAACCTTCGAGTCGTGATGCGGCGTGCGATGGTCGGGGGGGAAGCTCCCGAAGCTCTCCGTGGACGTCGAGGTGGAGCCAGGTCTTCCAAGGATAGCGCATAAGGCCTCGCCCAACTGCCGAGGCCAGCGCGTTCGCGGGTCGACTTCCCAGAATCGATTCTCCAAGCTTTGGCAGGGCCAGCTCCCTCCGACGGGACCCCGTTTGGTCTCGCCTTCGGGCCCCTGGCCCCCCGGCCCTTTCGGCGCTTCCGCCCTGGATGCCAAATTCGAGGGCCGCAAGGTTCTCCCCGACTGGTAATCTCGCAGGCCGAGTCGCGCATCTTGCGCGGAGAGCGTCGCAGGCCGAGACGCGCTTTGCGCGCATAGGCATTCGAATGTTGCGTCGTGAAGGTGCGCCATGCAGCGCTCGCGACGATATTTCGCCCCTGGCGTGGGCGTGGACTGTCTGGCCGTTTGTCTTGACATCGCTCAAACGTGTGTTTTTTTCCTATTGGAGAACCGTCGAAGACATCTCGGGCTCCTTGCGAAACAACGCACACGATGTCGAAAAGTGCACAGCGAATGGACGTCGGAGCGGTGGCGAGTTCAGATTCTGGAGGCCACCTCCCGTCTGCTCCTTCATATACCTTCGTGCTTGTCCTCCCTCTTCCAGCCCCGTCGCGCCCGTTCCTCTCCTGTCTCTCCCCGTCCTCCCCTTCTTGAGTACTTCGCCCCAGATCTCAGGAGGACTGCTTCTTTCAATCGTGGCGTTCGGGCTTCTGCTCGCGCGGCAGAACTACCCCTGGGGCAGGGGTCGAGCCGCGTGGAGCTGGGACCGGGATAAATCGTGCCAAGCTTTTCCGGAACGGTCTCAGAGCGTTCCGGAGCGCTCTGGAACGGCCGCGGCGCCCGATGCATCGGATCGCCCAGGTACGTTTGATTTCAAAGACCCCCGATTCATCCTGGTGCGATTTCGTTATGGTATTGGGTTCGTCTTGGTTGAGAGTTCAGGGGGCCACGGATTGAACAGACCAGCCCGTTTGAGGTCTGGGGCGTTCCGTTGTGCCCGTTTTTCCATCCTTTGCAGTTGAATTATAATTATCTCGGAGGAGGGCCAGTTGAGACAACGGTTGCTCTCCCGCCCGGCCCGAATCCATTCAAAATCGGTCCCTGAACCCCTCCTAAGATCCGTATTGGCCCGCTTCTCGAGGTGGACACATCCGTGGCGACGATAAGCTTCCAGCGGGGCTAACAAGGACGAGAAACGCCAGAGAGGGCCGCCGTTGTCTCGAGTTGTGCGCGCTTGCGGGTCAGAGATGCGTCCTTTCCACTGGATACAGGGAGGGGGGGGGCGGGCAAGTCGTCTGCGCAAGACAATGTTGACGACCGCAACCGCGGGGAACAGACTCCGCAATCGCGGGAAACTACCCACCAAGGCCATCTGATCTTGTTCTCCCATATTGCTTCCCCTTCATTCTGACTAGGCTCCCACGGCTTCCATCGGAGGCCACCAGAGGCCATCGGCGGCCCTGGGCGGCCCTCTTTCGGCCTGGAGACCCTCGGCGGCCCTTTGGCGGCCCTCGGAAGCCATCGGAGGCCACCGGAATGCACGTGGTGGTTGATTTTCCAGCTGCGTGCGCGAGGATGTCCACAGCAAGTGGTGGTTCATTTGTCAGCCACGCGCGTGAGGATCTCTGTAGAAGGGCCATCACGCGACCGTGGTAGGCCTGTGAGGTGAGGGCCCCAGACGGCCTCGATCGGCCCCTTCTACCTGGCATCGCTCGGACGTGTGCAGTTTTCCTTCGGCGAGGACCATCGAGGAGCATCCGCGATCATTTTGCGAAAAAAACACGCACGAAACCGAGAAAACACACAGGGAATGGACGTCCGAGCGATGGCGAGTCTACACGGTAGGGGTAGGACCCGAGGACACATGGCAGGTTCCCGCCCGTTGCCTTGGCGGTGACCCCAGTGCGGGCGTTTAAGGTTGAACGCCGCCAGTGGCCCAGAATCGGCCGGGAGCGAACGATCTTCGGCCGGGAGCGAACGATCTGCCCAATCGGAAGGCCGTGATCGTTTTAAGGTTGGACGTTCCATGGAGTGTCAGAGCCGACGTCATCGCGACGCGAACCTGCCGCATCGATATTTCAGAAATCTGTGCGACCTTGTCTCTCTGCTAGTTCTCACCCCTTGGGTACACGTCGGGATGGAAACACACAGACACAAACAAACATTGATCACCAGGAACGTATGGAAAAGTCTTGGACGTGGAAGGGAATACGAACATCCAGAAAGTATGTAAAGATGTTGGGAGTCCAGGGATTCGTTCCTATCTGTTGGTGTCTCCCTGGCCCCCTTCAACACGCTGCGGGCGGGACACGCCTGGAACACATTGAAACATGGCAAAGGGGACGCGGGGAAGGCGAAGGGGTGGGACCCGCTCAGAACATAGAGTCCGTCGCGTGCGTGCCCAGGAAGCGCATCCCGCAGGGCTCGGGCGGGTGGTAATTGGGGGGAGGGTGACCTAGATGGGGGGTGAAGAAAGGTAGGGGTCCAGAAGGGCCCCTTTGGGGCCCTTTTCTTCCCCCCCCGTGTAGGTCACCCCCATTACACGCCGGTCGTTGGAAGTAGGTATTTCTGGATCCCCGGATCCCAATCTGTTTCGGGCGCCTTCCAACTTCAATGATCAAGCGGTTATTTCTCTCTTCTCCTCTTCAGGGGGCGAGCGGAAACCCACTCCCTTTCCAACGCCTTCCTACTTCACTTTTCGACCCACTTCTTCCGACCGACTGAGCGCTGCCACCTCATCAGACTCGCCTGAACACATCAGCCACGCTGTAATACCTTTTCAGCTCCGCAGTAATTCTTTTTGGCGCCGCAGCAATACATCGTTTTCGCCCCCGCGGTAATGCTCTCTGTAGCCCCGCTGTAACACTCGGTTTCAGTTCCGTTGCAACACTCCTCTTTCAGTCTCGCGGTCTGCATCCTCAGCACCGCGGTAATTCCGACCGACGACTGCAACCCGCCCGAAGGGCGCGCACACGTCTCCACTGGCCCTCCTCCGACGCATCCTGATGGCCCACGGCGGCCGGCCCCCGCCGTCGCCCGCTCGCCCGCGTTGCGGCGCTCCTCATCGGAACCGGCGCCGCATCGGCTCTATCGCACGAAGCGGCGAGGTCCGCCCCCCCTCCCCCCCCCCCCCCCTCCTTCCCCTCCACATTCTCCTTCCCCTCCTCCTTCTCCTTCTCCTCTTCCTTCCCATCCTCCTCCTCCTCCTCCTCCTCATCCTCCTCCTCCTCGTCCTCCTCCTCCTCGTCCTCCTCCTCTCCTCCTTCCCCCCTCCTCCCTCCTCCCCTCCTCCTCCTCCTCCTCCCTCCTCCTCCTCCTCCTCCTCCTCCTCCTCCTCCCCCTCCCCCTCCCCTCCTCCTCCTCCTCCTCCTCCTCCTCCTCCTCCTCCTCCTTTCCCTCCTCCTCCTCCTCCTCCACCTCCTCCTCCCACCCGCCCCCTCTTCCTCACTTCGGGGGCAACGCCAGGGGGCCATAATTAGGCTCGTGGGGGAGGGGACGCTTCGGGTTTGGGGCTCGTTGTGTTTCGCGTTGTCATCGGTTCTCGGCGGTTGTCCAGCCTCGGGATTTTCTGTAGCCTCGCCGAGAGCCTTCTGGGGTAGCCCAGATCTTCCCTAACGGCCGCCGGTGGCCCGAGTCCTGGCCCGAAAACATTTCTTCTTTGGCCCCCCTCCATCGAAGAAGAACCAGAAGAGGCGAGTGGTGCGTTTGGACCCCACGAGGTCCGGGGATCGATCTCGAGTTGCCGCTGTCTTAACGCACCGCCTGTCTCCCTCCCCAGCCTCTTTTCAGGGGCATCGTTCGAGGATCGAGGATCGGGGTTCGCTTTGTGAAGGCTTGTGATCGTCCTTGGGCGCCTCCGTAGCCTCGCCTGGATCCGCCTCGAACTTCTGGTCAGAACGCACCCCAGGAGAGGTCCAGGAGCCAATGTTTGACCCCGGCTTGGGGTCAACGGCGCAGAGGGGATGGGCTTCGAGGTTCGAGGTTTTTGCGTTTATTCTTCGATTCTCGGCGGTTTTTCCAGCCTCGGGATGCTCTCCAGCAGCCGCGCCTCGCCGAGAGCCTTCCAGGGTTGCCCAGGTCTTCCCTAACGGCCGCCGGAGAGACGAATTATGATTTGAGCGCAGGGGTCAGGGACAATGTCAAGATCAGTTCAGGGGGGGATGCATCGACCCCCATGGTTCGCCGATAGGGACCCGATAGCACACCCCGCCGGTGACCTTGCGGATTTACTATCGGAGGCCTATCGCCGATCGACTGGCGATGTGTCGCCGATTCCTGAGCCAGTCCCCCCAATCGTTGCCCCTTCTCTCTTGCCCCTCCATCGAAGAAGGACAATCTAGCATAAACACAGACTGTCCAAGGAGGAGGAGGAGGAGGAAGAGGAGGGCGGAGGACGGACGGAGGAGGATGGCTGGAGTGGAGGAACACACAGCGGCAGAAAGACACTTTCGGAGGAGGATGAGAAGAAGGAGGGGAGGAGGAGGACGGAGGTGGAAGGATGTAGGATATGAACCCTCGACAATTCTGCAAACATTGAAGACGAACGTGCGCGGCGCTAAAGCAAGAACCACATGTTGAAAAGTTGTTGCCTACCATCTTTGGAAATGCTGCATACTGTTACGGGAAGTGTGTGCGGTGCTAATGCGAGAGACACCTTTTGAAGGAAACCCGCCTTCCATCTTTGAAACTGTTGTAACCTGTGTGACAACCTTGCGCGGCGCTCAGGCGAGAGTCACATTCTGAAAACGACATGCCTTCAATCTTTGAAGCTGCGTCAAATGCCGAGCTTCATGACCAGAGTTGGTGGGGATGTCTCAGGCGAACCCAATGGCCCGTCCTGCGGGCGTGTCTGCGAGTTCGGCAGGGAGGTGCTCTTTATGAGCCAAAGGGATGGAGGATGAGGAGGAGGGATGCCTCCTCCTCCTCGTGTTCCTCCTCCTATTATGTGCTGTTCTCCAGGATGGGAAGGAAGGAGTAAGAGGAGAAGGAGAAATACCCAAAGCCCCGTCCAGTGCCCTATACAGTCCCTACAACCCCCCCAAGCCGAGCACCCTACAACCCCGTCCTCTCCACTGCCCCCTCCGCCCGCGATTTTTTGTTTACGCAGCCGCAGCTTCCAGCATGTTGCTTGCGTCCTTTTGCTTCGTGTCACACTGTTGACTACCCCTCTTGGCTCCAGCACTCCGCTGGCAGAAAAAAGGGGCGTGGCCGCGGTCGCCGTCCTCGTCGCGGGTGAAGGCGTGATGGGGCTTCCAGAATCCGATCGACCCCATAATGCATGCCGATGTTTGCAGGTCGCACCAATTGGTTCGACTTGCGACCCCCCAGCGGCGACTCCCCTCCTCCGCGGAAGGTTTTCTACCCAGCCAGCAACATCACGAAGGCAATCCGCTCGATCTGCGACTGAGGATGGCTCTTATGCGATCGACTCGATGGTGCATGTGGGTGTTCTCGCGTCGCACTGGATCGGTTCGTGTATTCTCGGTTTTTGCCAGTGATGTCCGTGGCCCCGGGTGCCCCCCAGTCAGGGTTTTCAGGGAGACCTCCACGGCCTCCAGGGCAACCCTCACAAGGCCCAGAGGGCCTTGGCGGCTCCAAAATGGCGCCACAAGTTGGGGACACCTTCGGCCAGGGGCACCTGTTTTGCGACACCATCGGGGTTCCCCTTTTTTGGCGATACCCCTCCTTCACGAACGGTGTTCCAGCCGATGCATCAGATCACGCAGGCGATTCGACTGGTCTGCGATTTAGGGCAGTATGGCTGACAGCCAGGGCAGGCAAGGCGCGCGCGCGTGCCGCGTGGCCGCGCGTGGTCCACGGCGCCATCCTTTGTGCAGCCCACCCCCTCCTCCACGGCAAGACAAGGCGTCTGACAGCCAGGATGAGGGGCGCGCGCGCATGTGCTCGATGGCCACCCCCCCCCGTGGTCGTCCTCCTCCGCCCACCTTCTCCTCGTCGTTCTCTTCTGCACGGGCAGGGCCGCCAGCGAGCATCTCGACCCTTTGATCTTTGAAACAAGGTGCTTGCGCACGTCGCCGAACCTTCCGTTTTCTCCTTCGCCGCCCCGAGCACGGGCAGGGCTGCCAGCGAGCGACGACGTGGTCGTCGTCGTAGTCGTCATCGTCGTCGGCGTCGTTGTCGTCGCTGACGCCCTCGGGCTCCCAGGCGGACCTCGTCTCACCTGGTTATCGTCCTGATCCGACTCCTCAACCAGCGCATCCTGGTCATGCTCCTCCTCCTCCTCCTCCTCCTCCTCCTCTATCCCACTCCCTTATTAACAACTCCTCCCTGTCCCACCCCTGGGCCGGTTGAAAGGGCGGGCCAGGCGCTTCGCTTGAGACTTCCTCACCATTTGTGATCTTGAAGTTCAAATTTGTAACAGCATCACGGATGGAAGGCGGGCCCCTTTCAAAATGTTGACCTCGTTCTAGCGCCGCGCACATTCGTTGTAAAAGTTTGCAAGAGTTTGGAGGATGTGCCGTTTTCAACATGTGGCTCTAGGCCGTAGCGCCGCGCACATTCGTCTTAAGAGTTCACAAGAGTTACCATGAAAGACGGGTCGGTCTCAAAATGCGGTTCTCGCCTTAGCACCGCGCACATTCGTTTTCTCAAAATGGGCAAGATACGGATGCAGGGCGGACCTTTCTGGCATGGGATTCCCGTGGGGGGCCCTTTTGGGCAATTTCAAAGCGGTTATTCTTCTTCCTCCTCTTCCTCCTCCTCCTCCCCCCTTCATCCTTTCATCCTCTCATCCTCCTCATCGGTCTTCTCTTGCTCGTCCTCACCCCCCACCCCCCGTTCCCCCTCCTCCTCCTCCTCCTCCCCCTCCCCCTTTCCAAGGGAAAGCCATAACTTTAGGGAAACCCTGAGAAAAAAAACAAAAAAAAACAAAGAAGCTGAAGTGCTGGAGGCTGAAACTTTGGAAAACAAAACCAGTGAGCCCCCCCCCCCCGACAAAAAAAAAATCCAGGGAAGACCCGTCCGAAGGGACCACCTCATCCTCCTCCCCCCCCCCGTCCAGCGGAACGCCATAACTTTAGGAAAACCCTGAGAAAAAAATGAAACTGAAGTGCTGGAGGCTGAAACTTTGGAGACACCATTGAAGAAACCAAAGAAAAGATATTCCAGTGACACCCGCCCGCCCATGTAACCTCCCCTTCGGGGCGGACGGGTCTTCCCTGGAATATTTGTTGTTTTGTTTGGTTTGGTTTTCCCCAATGATGTTTCCAAAGTTTCAGCCTCCAGCACGTCAGTGTCTTTGTTTTTTGTTTTTTTTGTCCCAGGGTTTTCCTAAAGTTATGGCGTTCCTATGAGAACCTATACAAGAGGATTATGGTTAGACGCCTCTACAATCGGATTCCTTTTGAGAGCGTTCACAAAAGGATTCGAATGACACCCGTTGCGATCAGCTTCTTGTTGGAAACTAATACACAAGGATGTCTATTGAGAGCATATACAAGAGGATTCGGATTGGAAGCCTCTACGCTCGGATTCCGATTGAGAAAGTTTACAAAAGGATTATGATGACACCCGTTGCAATCGGTTTCCTATTGGAAACTAATACAAACGGATTCCGATTGAGAGCTTATACAAGAGGATTATGATTGGAAGCATCTACAATAGGATACCTATCGAGAGCGTTTACACAAGGATTCTAATGACACACGTTGCAATCGGCTTTGTGTTGGAAAGTAATGCAAAAGGGCTTCCTATTGAGAGCCTATACACGAGGACTATGCTTGGAAGTTTCTACAATAGGATTTCTATTGAAAGCGTTTACAAAAGGATTCGAATCACGCCCGTTGCAATCAGCTTCCGATTGGAAGCTAATACAAACGGATTCCGATTGAGTGCCTATAAGAGAGGATTCTGATTGGAAGCCTCTACAATAGGATTCCTATTGAGAGCGTTTACAAAAGCATTATAATGACACACGTTGCAATCGGCTTTGTGTTGGAAAGTAATGCAAAAGGGCTTCCTATTGGGAGCCTATACAAGAGGATTCTAACTGGATGCCTCTACACTAGGATTCCTATTGAGAGCGTTTACAAAAGGATTCTCATGACACCCCTTGCAATCGGCTTCCTCTTGCAAAGCAATACACAAGGGCTCCTATTGAGAGCCTATACGAGAGGATTCTGATTGGAAGCCTCTACAATAGGATTCCTATTGAGAGCGTTTACAAAAGGATTAGAATGACACCCGTTGCAATCGGCTTTGTATGGGAAATTGTTGACGCTTCGCGTATCCCCACCAGCCCATCCAGAAACGATGCTCAGGGGAGTTGAGGTGATCAGGGAAGTCGGGGAGCATGCAGAATAACAAAGGGCGGGGGAAGCTGTCACAGACCCCGAGAGGGGGAGGATGGAAGAGGAGTCGTCGTCGTCGTCGTCGTCGTCGGAGGAGGAGGAGGAGGAGGAGGGGGAAGAGGAGGAGGAGGAGGAGGAGGAGGAGGACGGAGAAGGAGGAAGAATCGGAGGAGGAGGAGGAGGAGGGGAAGGAGCTTCTTGGGGGTCTTTTGAGGGCCTCTTGGAGGGCTTTTTGGGCGCCTTGGGGCATCTTGGGCGCCTCTTGGGACCCTCTTGAGGCGCTCTGGGGAGCCTTCGGGGCGCTTTTGGGGCCATCTTGGAGGGAGTCGATCAAACAAGAGGGGGGGTTTAATTAGCGTCCCCCCTCGGAAGCCCCTAAAATCGCCTCTTGGACCCCTCTTGGAACGCTCTTGGAGTGCTCTTGGGCGCTCTTGGGGCCGTCTTGGGGCTCTTTTGGGGCTCTCTTGGGGCCCTCTTGGGCCATCTTGGAGCCATCTCCAGGCCTCGGATGGCCATCGGAAGCGAAAAGGCGAGAAAGCAAAAATCATTGATTTTCCTTAGGTTTTGGGACGATTTTGGCCTCTTCGGGGCCTCCTTGGGGAGCTGTTTGGCCACTTGGAGTTATCTTGGGGCCGTCTTTGGGCTTCTTGGAACCATCTTAGGAGCCATCGTGAGCGATCTTGCGCTATCTTGAGCCATCTTGGAGCTCATCTTGGGTTCTCTGAGGCGCTCTTGGAGCCGTCTTGGGCCATCTTGGACGCTCTAACTACCCGCGGCCCCCCCCGTCCAGGTCCAGGGGAGGGGGTAGGGGGAGGGGTAAACCCCTCCCCAAGGGGGAAGAGGGAGGGGTGGAAGAGGATCTGCTCTAGACCACCTACGCCCAGAGGGCTGGTGGGATTAATGCAAAAGGATTCCTAGTGAGAGCCTATCAAGAGGATCCTGATTGGAAGCCTCTACAATAGGATTCCTATTGAGAGCGTTTACAAAAGGATTAGAATGACACCCGTTGCAATCGGCTTTGTATTGGAAGCTCATACAAAAAGAATTCCTGTTGGGAGCGAATACAAGAGGATTCTGTTTGGAAGCCTCTTAGAATAGGATTCCTATTGAGAGCGTTTACCAAAGGATTATAATGATTCTCGCCGAACTCGCAGCTTCTTGCTCCCAAAGCGACAAGAGGGCCCCCCACGGGAGTCCCATGGCACCTTTCTCTAATGAAATTTTCGTCATCGCGCTGCTCGCATTCACTTTAAGAGTTTGCAGGACATTCACGGTTTTGCATTGTCAATCTCCCATAAATGGTGTTTTGGCACGATGTCGGAATGTCAGGGCGCAGCATTCACGTTGATTCGCGCTGCAGAAGTCCGAGGGATGGTGTTGTGGCGCGGTTCCAAATCGTCAAGACGCATCAGTAGCGGTGATTCGCGGCGTTGGAGTCCCAGGAACGATGTTTTGGCACAGCTCTGGATATTTCAAATGGTTGTTTTCTAACGGGTCATGTCCCTCCGTGGAACTGAATCGTTGTAGTAGCCTACGAAGAGGGACCTTGGAGGGAGGGCTCATTGCAATACCATTGACTTTGGTCCCCCTCCTCCTCCTCCTCCTCCTCCTCCTCCTCCTCCTCCTCCTGGTCGTCATCATCCCCGCCCTCCTCTCCCTCTGCAAACAATCGAACTCTTGACATTTCGCGTATCCCTACCAGCTGGTGGTATCGCCGCGGAGTGGTTCAGCCTTCCGCAGCAGCTACAGCACCCCACGCTCACCACCAGCTTCCGGCAGATGGCGTTGCACCACATTCAGCGACAGCTCAGCCCCCCTGGCTAGCACACGTCGTCCTGGGCGTTTGGAGCCTGGCGCCCCACCGGCGACTCACTCCACCGGCCTCGCCCTTGCCCCCACTTAGATTGACGGACTTGGTTATCCTGGTTCATGTCCCATACTGTGACAGGCGCCGAATTCCATGGCATTTTGTTTGTGCACGTGC